CCCAATAAGCTATGTTCAACAACACTTCGATTATTTGGAGTCTCTAGCACATCTTCACTTTCTTTTCATCCCTGCTGCTGTCATGCAAGGTCAGGCTCCACCAGGACTAGCATGCAGATTTGTGCGGGTTGAAAACTGAACCTCTCCAGGGTGTCCCATTACCATCAACTACACAACAGCCTATACTTCTCAATCAGCCTTTTCTTCTCTCATTTCTATTGTAGTTTTAAAAAATTTACTTATCTAGCATAAAGTATATATGGCATATGCATAAAGTATCAGACCCTTCCTTTCCGAACAGAACTTCCATAATAAAAAACCCAATCTTATTCCACATAGCACCACTTGCTGTTCACCTACTGGTCTCACGTTGAACATGGTAACATCTGATCAATCAGTTCCTCTTACCCAAATATTCTTTCCTTCTCTTTGTTCTCTCCCACTTCATGTCTGTCCTCTAAGTCCTAGTCTAAATCCTGTCTCTTCCATAAAACTTTCCCAGACAATTCCAGCTCAATATTCTCTCTCTGCACCACTCTTCCAAGAAATACCATACAGTCTGCTCATTTCACACGTTTTTTGCAGAATTAATTTTTGTGTAGATATTTTCTTTTAAAGAAACTGCAAACTTGTGAGCTGAGATTGTGCCACTGCACTCCAGCCTGGCACCTGGCAACAGAGCAAGACTCTGTCTCAAAAAAAAGAAAAAGAAACTGCAAAATTATCAATGACAGAAGCATGATTTACTATTATTTTTATGTTTTTTTATTAAAAACAAGACAATGTTGATGTTGAGAAAACTCTGTGAGCAGCATATTTAAAAGCATCTTTCCATATGCATAATATAATTCAACAATTTAGGCCAGGCACAAATGCTCATGCCTCTAATCCCAGCACTTTGGGAGGCTGTGGTAGGCGGATCACTTGAGGTCATGAGTTTGAAGCCAGCCTGGTCAGCATGGTGAAAGCCCATCTCTACTGAAAAGAATAGAAAAAGAATTAGCCAGGTGTCATGGCACATGCCTGTGGCCCCAGCTACTTGGGAGGCTGAAGCAGGAGAATCACTTGAACCCAGAATTGGAGGCTGCAGTGAACTGAGATCATGCCACTGCACTCCAGCCTAGGCAATAGAGTAATGTGTCTCAAAAAAATTCAACAATTTAACAAACAGAATAATGTTCTGTTATCATTTGACGGTGTCTCCCAAAAGTTAATGTGCTGGAAACAATCTTTCTGCCCTCATTAATAGACTAATACTACTGTCATTGGAGGGTTTATTATCACAGAAGTAGCTTTGTTATAAAAGCGAGCTCTCTTTGGCTCTTTTGCTTTTGCCCCCTCACCATTTTACGCCCTTTGCCTTGTTATGATACAGCAAAAGGCCTTCACCTGGATGCCAGCATGATGCTCTTGGACTTTTCAACCTCTAGAAGCATGAGCTAAATGAACTTTTTATTGTAAATTACCCAGTCTATGGGATTCTACTGTAGCAACAGAAAACAGACTAAGACAAATACATAGAACTGATACTGATTGTTAGTTCAAGTCAAGGGAAGAACTATGAAACCATACAACACAATTGAGAATGTTCAGTTGGGTGCGAGACTCATGAATTGACAATAAAAAACTTTTTGAATATTAGTTATTGCTAGGAGTACAATATCACTTGAACTACTAAATTGGAAAAGTTAGATAGAGAATGAAAGAATTTACTGCAAAAATAATTGTTATCTACTAATGTATAAGTTCTGTTCTAGGTCCTGAACAAAATATCCATAATTAATGGCCACGATGGAACTCACAACCTAATGGGGTCTTGTGACAGTATATGTTATAGAGTTTCAATCAATAACTCTCTTTGAATTTAGCCAAACGGTGTATTCAGACATTCACAATTATCATTGAGAAAGTTAGAAGTGTTAAGCCAGTTTTATAAAATTTGTAAAGGTTTAAACAAAAATTTGCAATATAACAACATAAGGAACAAAAAGTGACAACTCGATTGCTATTCAGAACTGCTCTAATTTATGAGAAAGAAACCACTGGCCTCCAAGGACAGATCTGAAGCTGCCGCACATAGAAGAACTTAGACTCTCATTGCACCTCAGACCCGAACTAGCTGTGAGACCCTGGGGAAGTTACCCAAGCTCTCTGAGCCACATTTCTCTCTACGTAAAATGAGCTACCAGACTACATGATCTCAAAGACAACTTCTCTTTCTAGTGTTCTAGGAGTCTATATTTGCTGTGGGCTGGAATTTAATATAAGGCTGCTCTGTCTTGGATCTGACTCATCAGAAGTTTATAGGGAGCCAAAAAATCATCCTCCTTGAAGATGACATTTCCCAGGAAGTCAGGCAATGTGTGTCCATCAAGGGTTGAAGACTGCTTTCTCCTCTACAACATGCTTCTCTCTATCATGTTTGATAGTCAACATTTGACAGAGATTGTTCTGAAGCCTAAAAATAATAATATACACATCTTATTTCTATCATCTTCTGAGGTGGTTCCAAGGTGCCCCTGTGGCTAAAGTTTGAAGAAGACCGGAAAGTGCTTATAACACTATAGCATCCTTTTCAGGGGTTTTCTGTGTACCCTCAGCAGCAAAGATGTGGCAGGGCACATCTTCAGTCGTGGACATGCTGGTGCCGGAGCTGTCACAAATGCCAGGTACACAGCTCTACAGAGACACTTTGAACCAAGGGGAAGCACAGGGACTGACAAGGCTATAGGGAATGTCCCATGTAACTTCCCTGTATTTGAAAAACAGCAATGCAAAAATGGAAACTTCTCTGCTCTTAAGTTGGCAGCAGAGCTATGGGAAAAGTTTCGGATGGAAGGAAAGCCAGTGAATATTGATCTTTTGGCTCTGCCTTTTCATAAAAGGCAAAAATGACTCTTCCCTTAATGAAGAATGGCTGGGAGAAGCTTAGAAGATGCACCGATTTGGTTTCATTCTACTCAGTTTATCTAAACCAGATCCAAGTGATCTAAGACTTTCTGGGTTATAAAACGGGACTGGAATTCTTAGGGCAGACATGTACAATTTCCAAGGCTCCCTATTTCTTGTCATCCTTTCAACAGTGTGGTGCCAGCAAAAACCAGCTAATAGAATCTTATGATCCAAAATTAATTTGGAAAAAAAAATAACCCGCCAGAATTTTTTAACCTAAAAAACAGGGCGGCAATTTAGGTTGGATTTGCATTTTCGGCAAAGGTTCCCATTAGTCTTAATTTTATGTTTGTGGATTCGCTAAGTCTAGTTTTAATAAGGACAGTTTTAGAGGCCTGGGCAGATTTTGAATGACTGACGGGCACCAATGAAGCTGGAAGTGTGCCAGGGGCCACTGGAAGTTCTTGGAGAGTAATTTCAAAGTCCTCACTTCCTTAAACACCCAGGTTTCTATCTAAAAGTGAGTACCTTCCTCCTTAGTTACCCTCCTCTTTGGAAAAGGAGAAACTGAAAGAACAGGCTATTTTGTTAATAAGATTTATTTTTTACTAACTAAGAAAAGGTTTAACTTATACCATGGAGCCTACCCCGACTCCAATTCATTTTATTCTTTTGCTTCTCTGAACTACAATATTTACCAGACACTTTACTTTTAAAATTGGTAATATCACTCTTTTTGTTCCCTTATCGTCACATAAGAGACAGGCTAATAGAAACAAATTGATGTAGGTTTGTGTTTAGTAAGATGAAACTGAGGTAGCAAGATGAAGCTTAGGTAGTTAAGATGAAGATAGGTAGTTTGCTTTTTTCAACTATAACATTTGCCAGAAATTTTACTTTTAAAATGGGCAATATTGTTTTTTGTAGCTTATAGAAATAAATAATCCAAGTTTGTAGTTTAGCAAAATGAAACTTAGGTAGTTAAAATTAACGTTCATGTTCAATTGACATACAATTAATTTCATTACATTTGCTAACCATGATTTACAAAACAGTGAAATCAGTTAGATTTTAAATTATATTCAAACAATCTATTAATTAAGTTGTTAATGTTTTAAAGAGAGGCATGGATTCATTTTTGGCTTTTAAAATAACATCTTAAAGACAACACTTATGTTAATTCCCAGTTTAGTTTCTTTTAAAATATTTCCACTCTGATAACAAATTGGGGCATGCAAATTTGGTAAAATTGTTGTTTCTTACTTTTAAAAACTTAGTGGCTCACGCCTGTAATCCCAGCACTTTGGGAGGCCAAGGTGGGTGGATCACAAGGTCAAGAGATCGAGACCATCCTGACCAACATGGTGAAACCTCTTCTTTACTAAAAATACAAAAATTAGCGGGGTGTGGTGGTGTGCGCCTGTGGTCCCAGCTACTCGGGAGGCTGAGGTGGAAGAATCGCTTGAACCCAGGAGGTGGAGGTTGCAGTGAGCCGAGATTCCTGCCACTGCACTCCAGCCTGGTGACAGAGCAAGACTCCGCCTCAAAAAAAAAAACTTAAATGTGAAATGGCATGATTTATCTTAATAAAGAAATACCAGTGAAAATGTAATTTTTCATTGATATACATAGTTTATTTTCTTTTTTTTTTCAAGATGGAGTCTGAGTCTTGCTCTGTCACACAGGCTGGAGTGCAGTGGCACGATCTTGACTAACTGCAACCACCGCCTCCTGGGTTCAAGCGATTCTCCTGCTCAGCCTCCCAAGTAGCTGGGATTACAGGTGCCCAACACCGTGACCAGCTAATTTTTGTATTTTTAGTAGAGACGGGGTTTCACCATGTTAGTCAGGCTAGTCTCGAACTCTTGACCTCTTGAACCTCCCACCTTGGCCTCCCAGAGTGCTGGTATTACAGCTGTTAGCCACCCCACCCAGCCCAGTAGCTGGTTTATTTTCAGTCACATTAAAACAGCATTTAAATGATACATATTTAAATTAATCTTAAACAGCCATCCTGATTTACCTAATTTACCTAATTTTAGTTATCTTAATTATCAATCAGAACAAATATAAGCCATCTGTCTTTGTGGAGTCAATAAAACTACATTAAGACTATACTTTGAGGGATTATTTCAGATAAATTTCTAGTTTCTCTGAACTGCAGAGCAGCAGAAACCATGAAAAGAGGGTATAGCATTCTCTCCTGAGTGTGAGGCTGGCTGTTGGTGCTACTTCACTCAACTGCCATATCCACTAATGATCATTATTCTCTTACTCTGGGAGAGTAAGAGAGAGAGGACGCAGTCTGAGTGGTTCTCATTTTAAAAATAAAATTATGTAAGTATTAAATAAAACTATGTTTTTGTCTACTTTATGAAAAATCTAGTTCTATTGACAAATTCATAACTATATCTTTAAATACAGACACACATGCACATATGCGTGCACAGACACACACATGCACACCCACACACGCACGCACACACACATACACACCAATCAGTAAAACTCAAGCAAAAGAATGTTGCTTTCTAACTAGTTTATGCTCAACATAATCTAATCAAGTGAGGCTTTGGTATAAAGCAATAATCTCAAGATATTCTAAAATATGCAGAAAAACAATAAGAAAATAAGTATATAAATATCTAAACACTTTGCTTAGATATTTTTCTGCCAAATACTGTATTTCATCACTTGGAAGTTTTACCTTCTGCGAAGCACTAAAACGTGGACGAAGTTCAGCTGAGTTCATTGCCACTTTACATCTTTACATCAAGGATCACATTTCCTCCAGTTTTCAGTAACCTGCTCTTTATTTCCATCTGAGACCTCATCAAAATGGCCTTTAGGGTCTATATTGTTTATGACCAATTGGGTAATTTCTAAGAGAATTGAAGTCTCCTCTACAACTCTCCTATACTGAGCCTTCACCAGAATCGTCCTTAATGCTCCATTCACAGAAATAGAGGCTTTTTCTAGCATGCACCTCCAAACTCTTTCAGACCCTTTTCATTACCCAGTTCCAAAGCCACTTCCAGATTTTTAGGTATTTGTTACAGCAGTGCCCCACTTCTTTCTTAATCTGTCCAGGCTGTTATAACAAAATACTCCAGACTAGGTAATTTATAAACAACAGAAATGTATTGCTCACAGTTCTGTAGCCTGGAAAGTCTCCATCAAGATTAAGGTGCTGGCAGATTCGGTGTCTGGATGGTGTCCTTTTCGTCAAAGATGGTGCCTTCCCGTGTGCTGACATAGTGGAAGGAGTAAACAAGCTCCCTCAGGCCTCTTTTATAAGGGCACTAATTACATTCATGAGGGCAGTGCCTCCCAAGGGCCCCACCTCCCAAAGGCCCCATCTCTTAATACCTGAGGCTTCTGAATATGTATTTATATACATATTTTATTATGTGAATCTCTGTTTACTAATACAGGTCAAAAAAGCTAAATCTATTAATATCACATCATCTTTAATATGAAGAAAGATTTCTTTGTGTTTTTTTTCTTTGTTTCTGAATGAAAATACTTATTATTCAGGAGTGCAATCTCCATGAATTGTCCTTCTTCATACATGCTAACAATTCTCTCACATTTTTATCTTTAGGCTAATTTATTCTGAATTTTGAGATTGTTTCTAAGTTTATTGTCTAATTCATTCTTTAAATTTCCTGTTATATTGAGTCTGTTTTTTCCTATTTTAAGACACATTTTACTTTTATTAATGTTTTTGTTTTGAAAAATTTCTTATCTCAGCCTGTGTCAAAATACGTGTCCTCATTGAGAACAAGATGTTTTCTAAATAATTCTTCTTCTTCATTAAATAAACCTATTTAGGAGGAAGCAGACTTCTGAGTAACTAATGCTTTGCTCTTCTCTCGTTGCAAAATATTTTCAATGTCTTCTCATATTTTTCTATTTACTCATTCTTGAGCAATGTAATGAACATGCTCTGAAATGCTGGTTTAAAACTCTCATTCAATACACTTTTCACATATAGAAAAATACTTAGGCCTGGTTTGAAAACAATACATTTAAAGGTCTTTACAATCACCAATGCCCACCTGCTGGCCATTTACCTCCATGCTAATCTGTCGCTGAAGAGCAAATTGTTGCCCAGCAGGTTTCAAACAAATGTGAAATCCTTCACCAGAGCAGAGGTCTTTATTCTCATTTTTTAAGTCATACGAATAGATTCAACTAGAATTCCAAAAGTAATAAAAGAAAGACAGAGCGCCGGGCGCGGTGGCTCACGACTATAATCCCAGCACTTTGGGAGGCCGAGGAGGGTGGATGACAAGGTCAAGGGATTGAGACCATCCTAGTCAACATGGTGAAACCCTGTCTCTACTAAAAATACAAAAAATTAGCTGGGCATGGTGGCGCGTGCCTGTAATCCCAGCTACTCAGGAGGCTGAGGCAGGAGAAATGCCTGAACCCAGGAGGTGGAGGTTGCAGTGAGCCGAGATCATGCCATTGCACTCTAGCCTGGGTCAAAAGAGCAAAACTCCGTCTCAAAAGAAAGAAAGAAAGACAGAAGCATGCAAGTGTCAAGCTCTTGTTCCCCGTTCTGCTTTTCATCCTCCCCTGTGCCTTACTACAGAGATGATTTACCATGAAGTTTGTAAGGTTTAACCTTCAAGATCTCTCACTTGCATGAGGCCCTTGCAATGTCTATGAGAGTCTATGACAAAGTGATTAACATGTTCAAATATTTTTGTAAAATTTGTAAAACATAGATATTTTATCCACTCAATCTTCCCTGTACGCCAGGTGACTATGAAGTAGCCATAGTCATTTTTGGGATCCTAAAAAAAAATTGTTTGAGAAAAATTGAGTTTGCTTTTGGTGGAATGCATTGGTGCGGATCACAGACATGATCCTAAGCAGTTAAATCATTGCTAGCCATGCACCAAGACAGTGAATGACTTGGAAATAAACCCACATCACTCCTAAACAGAGGTCATACTTGTGTTAGCATTCAAATTTCTATATCACAGGAAAGGTGGAGTTCCTTCTATAACTTAAAGTTGGTAACTTCCTCAAACTCAGGGATTTAGAGGCGCTCACACTCACTTTTGCCATTGGTTCTTCCTGAATATTAACAATCTCTGTTTACTTTAAAGAAAATGTACTCCATATGTTTCAGAATCATTTGTGCTTAAATCACCACATGGGAGACATAAATATTCAATATACACATGTAGAAATGTTTTTAGTTGTGGAAGAGACTACTTTCATTTTTAAAATGAATAGTTCTTGTCTTGATCTCTGACAGGGAAAAAAGAAAAAAAGATTCCCTCCCAGGTGTGGCTGCTCATTCTACAGGTGATTTCAGGCTCTGGGAAGGTGTCCTCCCATTGACCTTGAGTCATTATAGCAAATATTCGAGCTACAGCTGTACCAGTTAATTCAGCAGGAAGGAGTTCAACCTCTTAGTTCCAAGCTTTTCGGCCACATTGAAGACCAAGGCATCATGTCTTCTGTGCCCTAATCCAAGGACAGGAACGATATATTTATACTAAAAGTAGTGAGACTCGTTCTTCTCCTGACTCTACTACGAGGCAGCCATTCCACTTTGAAGAAGCAATCTACTGAGATTCAGCTTGTTCAATCACATAGGAAATGATGTAATACTTCCATCTTAATCTTTTTAATGCATATATTGAGAAAATAAACATTTTTTATAAAGAGCAAGGCCAGGTGTGATGGCTCACACCTGTAATCCTAGCACTTTGAGAGGCCAAGGCAGGAAGTGAACTTCAGCCCACGAGTTCGAGACCAGCCCGGGAAACATGATGATACCCTATCTCTAAAAAAGATACAAAAACTAGCCAGGGTTGGTGGCGTGCACCTGTAGTTCCAGCTACTCAGGGGGCTGAGGGTGGGAGATTTGCTTGAGCCCAGGAGGTTGAGGCTACAGTGAGCTGTGATTGTGCCACTTTGCTACAGCCTAGGTGACAGAGTGAGACCCTGTTTCAAAAATAAAAGGGCAAAAGACAAAACAATTTCTATGCCGCTTATATGGTTTTCTGGTATATTACAATAACAATATTAATAAGGCTCAATAAGTGTTTATGGCTGGAATGCTACTTTAAGGAGAAGCTAACACTCTAACTTGCAAGAGAATAGTTCTGATACATAAGCAATAGCATAAAGATCCTTGCAGTCTTAGAATAAATCCCCAGGAGACCCACTGCTCACACCCAGCTGCCCTTACCCCCACCTTGGATTAGTCTTATTCTCATTCGGAGCTGTGTCACTCCACAGAGCACAAATGGATCTGGCCCTTGGTGAGGTTTCATCTTCTCTTAACGCCTAGCATAGCCTCATTTATTCATGCTTACTAAGCAGAACGGTGGTGTAACCCTCTGTGACTTTTAGTACTAGGGGATATAACCACACTGAGATCCAGATGGATAAATTCTGCTTGACATCACTTAAATTTTTGGTGCCTTAAAAGGCACCAAAAATCAATATATCAAAAATGAACTCTTGATCTTCCCCTAAGTTCTAGCTTTCTCCCAGTGTTTTCTATCCCAGAATGTGTGACCCTCATGTATCCCCTTGAGAGAGAAAGCCACAATCATAAAGATCCCCCTTTCCCTCAAAACCCATACTTCATCACCAGATTCTGTTGGCTTTGCCCCCTACATAATTCTAAAATAGTCTTTCCCCTAACTTTTGCAGGGTCCAGAGCAAGGGAACACATACCATATATGGAAATAATTTAAAGGTATAAATAAAGTTATAATCCCAGCATTTTGGGAGGCCCAGGTGGGCGGATCACGAGGTCAAGAGATCAAGACCATCCTGGCCATTGTGAAACCCCGTCTCTACTAAAAATACAAAAATTAGCCGGGTGTGGTGGCACGTGCCTGTGGTCCCAGCTACTCGGGAGGCTGAGGCAGAAGAATCGCTTCAACCCAGGCAGAGGTTGCAGTGAGCCAAGATTGCACCACTGCACCCCAGCCTGGAGACAGAGTAAGACTCAGTCTCAAAAAAAATAAATTAAATAAATAAATAAGTGAACAAGCTGTTAGGTAAGATAGTTCTATTTTTCCACCTTGACAAACACATTTTCATAATGACCAGGAGAGCAGGGTTCAGATGAAAAATTCTCCATCTCCTTGGAGTTTTGTGCCCTTAATTAGGGACTGGGGATTGCTGGACCACATTTCATAGATGGCAGACAACAGGCTACCCCATGTTGTCCCATCCCACCTGCAAGAGACCTACTGCAAGGGACCTCATGGACACAAACATTGGCACCCAGGCTACATGTCCAAGCTCCGCAAGCTCTCTTTACAACTCTGT